GACAGTTAATTCTCACGTGAGCCCTTTTTAGATACAAAAATCAAAGAAAAGGACCTAAAAATAACTTTGATCTAAAGTGTGCCTACCTGTATGAACAAACTGATAAATACAGCCTCATAAAATCAACTTATTTTCTCAAAACTACCATTTTTTTCTCCACTTTAATTGTACAGCTTTCCATTCTTTATGATGAAAACATCTGTTTTACCTAAAACAAGTTTCGTCATGTGATAAATCGTAACATTTTTACAAAAATACAGCAAAGCTCAAAACTACATCCTGAGCTTTCATAAAGAGCTTCAAATTTGCCTTTACGTATTTTTTTGGTAACGCAAGCAATAAATAATAAATAAATAAATAGTTATGAGTAAATTGCCTCTTCTTTTGTAAAGGTGTTTCCCATATGAAGCTAAACTTCACGTTATATTTTATTATCTAACAAAGTTAAGTCGGGTCCTCTGGATGGATTGTACTTGTTGAAATGTTTCGTCTTTCATCCAAAAGACTTCTTCAGTCAGACTGAAGAAGTCTTTTGGTTTTGGATGAAAGACGAACGAAACAAGAAGAATCCGCCCAGAGGACCCGACTTAACTTTGCTAGATTTTTCTACCTGGATCAATGAGCATGTATTAGGATACATTTTACCATGTTTAGTTTTAAAAACTGTGTAAAACTATTGTTTTTGTGTCCTATTTGGAATGCAGTGTTCTCTCAAATCTGATTTTTTTTTTTTGTTGACGACTGATATTTAATAAAATAACTCATCCAAATGTTTTATCACGTGTGACTAGAAGCGTTTATTATTCTTAAACGAGACAGGGTAGATATGAAAATGTTTGGATACAGATCATCTCATTATTTCTTCTAGTGCTTCTTCTTTAAAGATTACATCATGATGAAATGTAAAAAATGTTTGAGTACCGTACAATAAAAGTAATGTGATTTGTCTGACTTCTGGTGTTTCATTTCCAGATTAACATTTTACACTTTCAGACAGGATGAGCCTACATGGTTTAGTGTGAAAAAAGTGGTGAAGCAGCGCCCTCTGCTGGTTCGAATAAAAAATACTGCAGATAATTAATCATTCAGTAAAAATGTATTAACCTTACAGCAAACAAATGAATGATCAAGTTCAAACGCTGTATTTACAAACAGTATCTTATGTCTTAAAATAATTAGCAAATCACTGCACTTAATTGTAATTATCGTTTGATACAGAAACCCACTTATTCAAGTTTTGTTGAGTTGTAACACATGTCGAGTAGTGAATGATTAGATTCATCTCAGTGTTAGAAATTATTTTTTTACAGCTTCTTGACTCAAGTGTTGTTAACAAAATTCCTACTGAAATTACATGTTACTTTTTAACCATATATACAGTATTTTAACGTAGCAAATATTAGAAAAAAAATGTGTGTCTTATTTTATCGTAATTTTCCCGTTTTTGCAAGCAGTTTAAAACTGTGGCAACCTGACAAAGGGAGCAGCCACCTAATTAAGAGTTAATTAAGGTCTTGCTTCTATACATCCTTACAAAGGGAGTTCACTACACATATAAGCAGTTATTAGGGAGGGAAGGTGATGCATCTGATTTAAAAAAAAATGGTGTCAAAGTTTTATGTTGATCTCATTTTTGCCACAAACAAACAAACAAAAAAAACATTATTAGAGGCTTTGCATGAAAAAAATCCAATGCACGGTTTAAAATGTACCCATTTGAAAATAACTGTATAATGTATTTTTAATTATTTCTATCATGAGGGGCGGCTGTGGCTGAGTGGTTAGAGCAGTCGTCCTCCAATGGGAGAGTTGGGGGTTTGACTCCACCAGCAGTCATATGCTGAAGTGTCCATGGGCAAGACACTGAACCCCTCATTGCCTCGGATGTGTGTCCCATCAGTGTATGAATGTGATAAATCACTGATTTATCTTTGTACATATATTAGGGGTGTAACGGTACATGTGGGTGTATTGAACCGTTTCGGTTATTTTTTCACTCATTAAATTTTATTAACGAGAGATTATGCACCGTGGAACTAAAGTTCCTAAGCGTGTCTCAGCACAGCGCTATTAATTGTTGCATAGTCTTGCAGCACACGTAGCATTAGCAGCCTAGCATCTCGTTGTGGTCTCCTGTTTGGGAACATTATGACTTTCTTGTTAAAAGACAAGTGAACAAATCTAAAGCGGTGTGTCGACGTTGTTTCACGGAGATTGGATCTGCAGCAGCAACACGTCTAACTTGTTAACGCACTTGAAACGACATCATACAAACATGAACGTCTCTTCTAGCAGCTTGGTTCAAAGAGCGATAACAGCAGCATTTAAACAACCTTCATCAGGTCATTCAGATTAGTTCAGAGCAACAACACAAGCTGTAGGAGCTTTTAAAAGCTCTGGATCTACGTTTCTGTTGTTGATGCGCCGACTTTAAAGTTCTTGAGCCCCGCTACAACATCCCATCACATCAACACTTCAGCCAAAAAGTTGTAGCAGCATTTTATGAAAAAACTAAAACTGATATTGTTAACGAGCCCTGGACCAGATTAAAGTGCTGTCCTGATGATGATGATGATGATAAACGAGAGGTTCAACCACCTCATAACAGAAATGATGACCGTTCAAGAAGAGGTATTGTTATTGTATTATTTTTCATTCAACCTTTATTTAAACAGATAAATCACATTGAGCCTCGAAGACTCATTTACAAGTGAGACCTGTTTGGACAAATAAAAAGTGGTAAAATGGACACATGTAGGAGTTGGAGGCGAAAAAAATTCTTATAAGACTTTTTTTTTCCTGCCTGAGAAAAAAACCCTCTAATATTAAAAAAACACCTCGCACAAACAAGCACATAGTGACGTAGACATTTTGCAGACAGAGGAGTCGAGAGCAGTCAGCAATTTTTATAGATGCTCTCGAGGTCACTGTAAGAGTTCTGATGAATAATCAGTCAATGTCCTCTGGTGAGATCCATGAACATTCTCGAGGTATGTCGAGGAATGGCCAAGAATAACCTCTATGAGAATCCAAGAGTCCTGAAATGATGACACAAAGTTTATTCAGCTGGTTCCATATGGTTATCAGTTGGAAATTCCTCAGGGAGGGGGTGGTGAGCGTCAGATCACATGTTCTCCAGGCGACTTTAGATAAGATGACCTTCAAGGCCAGCCACGGGAGCCAACTTATAAACAACCCACAGATAAACACACAGTTGTTTTGGGGACAGGCAGAACTTAATGACATCTACCTTGAGTCTGTGTCGGTCCACTCGGTTCCGAAATGTCCAAATTACATGGCCACACCGATGGAACATGACTGAGTAAAATCACCAAGATCTGATCCATTCAGCCCAAAGCATTTGAGTCCGGGTACACGAGACACGAACCAAGCCATCATAAAGACAAGCAGCGTGATCAGGTCCAAATTTGCTGCAGACGACTTCCTTGATTGTAGATCAAACCATCAACCAGACGAATCCAAAAAGCAGGAACCAGTTATCGTAAATCCAATTAAACATGCATCCTTAAAATCCACAGATGGCAGCAGAGATAGACACATCATCAAGTCTTCCAGTCGATGAGATATCCAGCTGTGTGTGTGCCAACAGTGTAAATCAACTCGCCTAAAGCCTGTCTTCTCTTTGAAGAAATGTTTTAAATTGAGTTGAGGGACCAACTGATCAAAACAAGTCCATAATTATGGTTCAGAAGATATGCAAGAGAGTCTCACAGCAGTTTCACAGAATTATTATGATCTAATTAACTTTTTTAATTTAAAATTGTAATCTTATTAACAAAAAAAAAAATTTTTTTTTTACTTCTTTGTGTTGTTTGCAGTCTGAGGATGTCACCGAGATACCAGCAGAGTCTTCTTCATCTTCAGGAATCATCCACCAATGATCACCTCCAGCTGAGAAGTCTGTGATGACTGAACTCTGAACTTTTCCAGGGACAGGTGGGAAGTAGCAAGTCCCTTCTGGAGCAGGTCCAAGAAGAGGCTGTGAGTACAGAGCTTCAGGGTGCCTTCCCTTGAAGCTGACCTTCTTCTTTTGTGGAAAGACAATGAGGCCAAATACAGCCACTCTCTATTCCTGCTATCTCTGTTGCTAGTGAGCGGTTTTCTCCACCGCAGGAGATATTTTCACTGCAACTTTTGACAGAAAATGTGGACAAGTTGGTCTTTTTGGCCAAAAAACTTAAAACTTGATTATTTAGATTGTAAACAGTCTGTTGCTGCTTATTGTTCTGGTTCTGACTCTTATTGCATTTATTATTTTTTTTATTATTGTTAGTATATCCTGATGCATGCTCAATAATCCAGGTAGAAAAATCCAAAAAAGTTAAATCTGGTCCTCTGGACATTCAGCTGATCAGCTGGTTTTGGTTGTCAGCAGCAAAACTGGTTGATCCACCCTGAGAAGGTGCTATTTAAGAGACCGAGCTGAATACAGCACCTCAGACTGAGGAAGTCTCTCGGATGAGAGACGAAACGTTTCTACATTTTTTTGTTGATTTGCTTTGTTTTGTTTATTTGAATGTCCAGAGGACCAGATTTAACTTTTTTGGATATTGTTAGTATAGTTTATTTATTGTAAAGAGTGCCGTTTATTTAAAATATCATCCAAATGGGTCGCTTTATATATTTTTATACAAACGTATTGTTTACTTGGCATATTTTCAAGATAAACATTTAGTAAGTCTTTATTTTGACCTTTTTTGTACCAAAAATTAACCGAACCGAGTCCTCCTTGAAACTGAACCGAACCGAAATGTGATTTTAGCGTACGTTACACCCCTAACAGATCTAGTAGAGTGATGTATGAACGGGTAAATGAGGACACAGATTGTGTTGTAAAGAGCTTTCAGTGTCTTGATACGATAGAAATGTGCTGTATAAGTACAGTTCATTTACCATTTATCATTTTTTCTACACATTTCAGTCCACTTATGCAAACAAAGGAAGATGATGAAACTTTAGGGATGGGAAAAGGTACCAACCCGTTTGATGGAGCTGCGGGTCTTCTCCTTCCACTCATGGCTGCTCAACTCCAGGGTGCAGTGAACATTCGTTTCTCGGTCGTAGGAACCCAGGATGAACAGTCTGCAGGCAGAGGACAGGATGAAGAACTGTAGCAACGTTACCAAACACTTTATCAGCCCCTACAAAACGTTCTCTTCATTTTTTGTTTTTCAGAAGGATCAAATGATTACTTCCAGCTCCGCTGTTTCCCTGGTGCACACAAGGATCCTGTGTTATTAGACTGCTTTTAATGCCTTTTGTGCAGCCTCAGTGATCATCCTGTGTGAAAACAGTTCATTTATTATTTATAAATATGAACGTGATTAACAGATTAATCTTTAAAACTTAAGCTACATTTAATATGGGTGCTGCCACATCCTGGGGGAAAGGGAGAACGGGAGGAGGGAGAGGAGACGCGTCTGTCTTGAGCGACAGCCAGAGCAGATATTAGATTATTAGATTATTTCCACTTACCTGTAGATAGATTTCTTGCTCACTCTGTTCAAACAACTTGTTAAACCCCAAAATACACTCTTTATTCAAATGTAACTTTTACATAAGACCGTGAAAACAATATACATCTTGATTTGAAGGCAGATGAAACAAAGTAGTCCTGAATATTTTTCTTTCAACAGTATTATTCTTGGTGAACGAGACTGAATGTTGATGCAGATTAGTTATACAGTCTGTCTGCTCACTCCCAGTATTTTATTTTATGTATTTATACTTCAAACTAAAACACTATTCTCAGTGTCTTTAAGATGACTGGGAGAAAAATTATGAGCTCCTTTCAACAGGTTTGGGGCTTTTCTTGTCCCCTGCTAGACTGAGGCCATCAGTGAATGCATTATAAATGTTTCATCCCATCTCTGGTGCTGAAAGTCTGTTGTCTTACCTCCTCATACAGTATACAACCAAATTATTTTTTAAGAATGTCAGTGGCAGTATCCCTGTCAAATACAAGAAGATGGTCTTCCTCAAAAGATTCTACAATTTATTTTTGGGTGGATTTCACAGAAACTGAAAAATATAGACATGCTGCCCCCTTCTGGACATTTACAGTATGTCACACCTGATGGGTTTAAAACAGATGTTTCCATCCTATGACAAACTGCACCCCCTCATACAGGTGAGGTAAGCAGGAGCCAGCTTCCAAACAAACCGTGAGGTGCTGGGGAGGGCAGGGTAAGAGGAGAGAGCGGAGGATTATAATGAGCAGCACTCTTTAATAATAGATGAGTGTGATCCAATCATTTGTGGTCTATAAAACACACCCATTGTGAATTCAAACACACACACACACAACTTCTCTGTCTCTCCAGCACAACAGAGGGCAGGCCTAACAACAGGAACAAGTTGTGGTTAATTGATCAAACCCTTTTACAAATTAAAATGTTAGCATCGCAGCTTAAATCATGAAGGCAGGGTGGTTGTCTGGTAAGGTAGAGTGTGGTCAGCCCGTTGTAAACTTTGGCAGATGGCTTGTGAATATAAGAGCAACTGCAAGAGAGTTGAAAGGCCTCCATTAACACTTACAGACTGTAAGAAGTAGACAAAATCACACTGACATCACTGGTTGTTACCACCCTGACCCTAATATAGACAAAAAGCTGGAGCTGGAGAGTGATGCTTCATACTTGAACAAATAATGTTAAGTATTTTGGAAGCTTCATGTCTGAATATAAGTTTTGATGTTCCACCCCCACCCCATCAAAAGGACCATGAGCACTTTGATCATAGGTACATTTAGCTGAAAGAACCACCAGCTCAGAAGGCTAACTTTAGCGATGGTTAAATTTGTGTTCCAGCGTCTCGACAGCATCAATACGTAATGCAGGTGTCAGACAGGGCGTACAGGAGGAGTCACATTTGGCTGAAATACATTTAATACCAGACTTTTTAAAATAAGGGACTTCACTTTGAATCTTTGTTTAAAAAAAATTATATATATATATATATATATATATATATATATATATATATATATA